TGTATCATTAAATAAAATGTATACACTGACATATGTTTCAAAATACTGTTATTACTCCCTCGAAAGACTCAATGATTGAAAAGTTATTTGATCAACATGATTTAGTTTCTATAATCGTTGTCATTTGTTAAGCAATAAACATTTGATGACATTTGATATTGATTTGATGTTATCTAACTGATCACTCATTCGAAACAATATAATATTACTTGAGATGCTATATTAAAATTATATATTTCACTCTTCATTGGCATTCTGGACAATTTAAAAATGAACACTTTTAGTAACGTTCTAGCAATCTTGGTTACCATCACACTTTTAGATTTTGGTAAGTAACAGCGCTAGCCGTAATTCTGCCTTATTAGGGAGTTTAAGTTTGCATATAAAATCGAAACGCCAACCTAATACAAATGACCAATCGCCCATACAAATGCATCGCATAAATATTTCCCGTTCAGGGTTAGGTTGTGAAAACATTGCAAGCTTAAACTCCCTATTATTGACGCGGTTAAACCCATACATAGTATAGTCGTTCAACCCTGCTCACTTTATCAAAACGTTATGTGTTGGATGAGAATTATAGGTCTTCTACGTTTGGATTTCAGGATTGGAGAGGTTAAGCTACCGTATAAAATCCAAGACGCAACTTAAACGTATCAATCGGCCCTATACAAATACATGTAGAGTTCACACATAAATAGCCGTTCAGCTCAAGTGTTTGTTTAGACTACACCATAGCTTGTAATGATTACATAGTATCCCAATGATGAAGTTCAATAGCTGGTCTTCTAATACATATTTTAAACGAGCTCGTTTCGTAAGATTATTGGATTTAAATCATGCGTAACATACATCATCTTCTTCAGAAAGAATTATACTTTGCATCGAAATCAAAATTCCAAGGATAGTATTCAACAGACATGAGTATAATGATTCCCGTTAATAGCAACGTGAAAATTTGAAATCTCCCGTTCTAAGCACGCAACTTTGAAGTTGAACGGGTATCTGAAGTAGACTAAAGCGATACAATTCTATGTTGATTCAATGTACTTTGCGTTTACGTATACGTTTTGAAAAACCGTATTTGCTTAACCTCTCCAGTAGCCTTGAAGTACGGACCGTGTAAAACCAGATGTAAAAATCTTGGTTTTAAAAAATGCTCAAGGGTGTGTAGGATCGCAATAGTAAGTGAAATCTTATCTTAGCTGATAAAAAATGATGGCATTGTATCATATTACCTTCTCAAGCTTACATGTTGAATTTCTTGTGTTCGGGCTGATGATTGAATGGGGTCCGCGCATTATAACGAAACCCATGCGCAGTGTACCGACGCGCATTGTACCGAAAGGCGTTATACCGAATGTCATAATCACTGTTCCACAACTAGTAACTTTGACGGAAAGTCAATGTAACAAAATGGATGAACTTCCTGGTTACGAATTTTTTGCTTTCTCGATTTAAACCTACTTACTAATAAGTCAAGTTACAGATTATAACTGGCCCAAAGCTAGAAAATATAGCCTAGTTTTAAAAAGTTTCTTCGATTTGGAATTTGTTTTGTAAATGAAGCTGTAATTAATATACTAAGCCTCTCGCTTTTGTTACATTGACGAAAGCCTGTTATATTACCAATGTATGTTAATTTGTCAATGGGGCTTTAGCCCGACCATTTTTAGAAAACTTGAAAATCTCTAGAATTTGAATAAAGGTAAATAACAGTGCAAAAACTATGTTGTTTTGATAGAAAATTAAACACAGAATTCAAATAGAAGAAAATGATAGTCTTTAGTGGTTAAAAATGCAGATCTCCTAAAATCTCATTAAAACGAGAGCTTAACGAGATTTCAAAGCTATATGGAAAAGCCACTATTAGATAGATGCATTCACTAGGCTATTCTCTGTACTTGTGTCCGTGCCTCATTTTGAGTAGCGAGTGTAAATTATTTTCGGAAATATGATTATGTTTTCCCTGTTATATGAATTGGAGATATCTGACAAAATATGGATAGCCTAAAATATAAATTTTGTGTTTTTAAACATGCGGAAATATCTTGAACACTTTGAAACTGAAGTACAGTTCGTTCAGTTTTCTTGTTTTTGTTCTTCACAACACTTGTGTTTAATAGCCACGCGTAATTATTAATAAGCGTAATCAGATTATTTCCAGCGTCGAAATAGCTTATTTTCCTCGACGTATCTACACAAACCTATAGCTATTCACTTACCGTTATACATAGTGATATAATTGTTTTCACTCATCAGCTTTAGTGGCCCGCGATACCTTTTATTTCATACATTTGAGACGCAATTGATATATTGGCAACAAATCAAATGTTCTAAATGATTCTTCTTCATTTTGGAATGTTTATCCTACCCGATATTCAAAGATGTGTCTTAGATATTATACTTTACATTGATCACGATTCTTGAACTTTCTGTCTTTACGACTCCCGTTCACATTTGCAAGAGGTGTTGATTGCATTGCCTTGATCGTTGGTCGAACTTCGATTCCAACTAAATCAGATTAATCAATTAAGAAATGTAATATCATGTTTATCCAAGCAAATAATTGTAACAACTACATTAATTTTTAGCAGTTTTGACACCTAAGCAGGGTAGCCTAGTGGCGTAGACTGAGGCTACTTTGCGGTTGAACGTCGTGGGATACGGAGGTCCCGCGTTCGAGCCCCAGGTACGGATTTGTTGATCATTGTCACTACGGACACCCGGTCCGAAGGTCCAACCGTTTACCGGCCCTTGGCATGGGTTGGTTCTCTGGCCGCTCTTGCCGGAGACAGATTGTGAGACTGTGGTTGGTTCCTCCACTAACGTGCTTTAGTAAACTCCGGGAGTCATATAGTATGGTAGCGGGCCCCCACCAAGGGCAGTAGTGGAACGACGTGAATCGGTCCCAGTATAGTTGCCTTGCAACTGAAGAGACTCGAGGAAATCATGCCATTCGCAGTGACCCAGAAAAGACTTTTGCTTCTTAATTTGACGTTTTAATTTATTTATTTACATACTTTATTCATATTCAGGCAGTTATGATTTTTATTGGTCAAATGAATGAACGAGACATATAGATACTATTAAATACATCTAGATAGTATCAAAACCATAATTCGATTTGTCGGACATATATAAAATAACACTTGAAAACACAACACACATAGCTGCAATATCCGTAGCATTTGGCACAGTCGGTTCCCACGCTCTATCATTTTGTGTGGTCATCATAAGATAAAGAGGTACGGTTGATTGGACCATGGCCTTTCAACAGCGCCAAGAAATTGGCATGGATAGCAACAAAAAGAAACACCGGAAATAATCCAGAAATGTCCCGCCATTGTTTTCGTTAGTTATGGGAAGGCCCCGGAGAAAAAACAGCATTCGTGGGTAGCTTAATTTTTGTACCAATTAGAGCCATGACTTAAACTCAACCAAGAACGGTGGAGCAAAGTCACTATGGGTCCCAATTGAGAATCAATTCAAATCAAAATCAAATTGAGAATCAGATGACCTGCTAAGTCTAGTATTGATTTGCCCCTAAATAGATATTAAAGGGGCGCTGAATATTGGACTTAGTTAATGAGCACCATTTCAAACTACCAATTAAAACATGTAGTCAATGTTTCAAAATAATGAAACTGAAATATTGGGCAAAATAATTGATATTTCGTTTGCGGAATGAAAACTGATGATAGAGATAATATCATTAGCCAAAAACTATATAAGCAATTTAAACATGGAAATGATGCCAATTTAGAAATATTATACTATGAAAAGAAATGTTTGTGAAATGGTTAGAAAATGAAATAACTTTAGAATTAATGGGATCATTGAGGCACATATTCATAAAAATCACACTTGGATTTGGAAAGATTTAAAGTAAAACAATATCTTGCTCTCTCTCCATGACTACAATTCTTGGCCCTATCAGCACAAGATCGAAAATACAGTAATTATCAAGTTCAATAAGGAATGTGAAACTTTATATTTAATAGCACAATTATTTATTTCTACCAATGAAACAAACCAGTATAAATAAATGTTTACTTCATTGAATACAGAATTTACCACGGTTAAATATATTTTATGAAGTACAGGGTTAACCATAATCAAACATAAATAACAGAATTATGACTTTATCCTCTATGAAATACTGAAATTGATGGTTAACTGGAATTTAGTTTGTTGAGACGACCCCTCAATCCGAAACGCCTAGCATCAGTTAAAACATTTCTGGCCGCAACTGAGACGTAAAGATGTTCAAAGATTTTAAATTAAGCTTTATCTGAAAATATGTTTTTTTCGCGATAAACTTTTAATTGAATATGAATATATAAACAACAGATTGACATCCAGTCTCATATTAAAAAGTTTAAAGTCAAAATATTGTGGAAGTAAGTAAAAATGAATTTTTAATTTTCAAGACTTGTCTGTTCAATGAAAAAATCATGTTAATTTGTACCAACGTGTATGATAAAGTAATATATAAACTATCTATTTTATATGCTGGCACAGTAGAATTTCTCTTGACTTTTCAACATAGCACCATATTTGACTTTTCAGGCTCCACTTTTATTATTCTATGCTTATATAATGTTACTGTGCACTGTCATACATGTACATAATCATATGTCTACATGACGTTTTAAAAGAGTAAAGAGATAGATTCAAAGCACCGTTCTTGCGAGTTTCAAATGAAAATATTGAAAATGCATGTATTGAGGAATGCAACTTTTTATGCCCACACTGACAAAAACTTGAAATTCCCGCTGTAAAGATATAGTCCCTAGTCATAAAACTGGTGGGTTAAGGCAATGTGCCTTCCCACTGGCACGGATTTCGGTACAACGCGCATCGGTAGGCCTTTTCGGCACAATGCGCGTCGGTATAATGGGTTTCGGTATAATACGCGTCGGTATAATGAGGTGATCCCGATCGAATCACTATTAAACATACTATTTGATTGATTTCTCTTAATCTATATGCTGCAGGGTGATACTATTGATTTGTCTTGTTGGAAGAACTGCTCTGTTGCCATAAGTGGATCTACTGCCGAGAAAGTCCTCGCTGGATGTATCCAAAAGTGTAGAGTTGGGGAAACATGTCAAACAGCTTCAAACAAAAGTAATATTACAAAAATAAATCCCAATATGCTAAACTATAGCATTATAATTTAACGCACAAAGATGCAATGCCTACAGCCCCCCCCCCCTCCCACCATTTAGGAATCATTATCACATTCCAAAACCATCTTATAAAGGCATCGTCTGGGTCAACGCTCAAACACTTCGTTCTTTAGGATAGGTCCGAAACTTGATGAAGCAAGATGTAACAAAGGTGCATTTCATAGTTTTCATGAATTACGAATAGCAATCAGTAGTAGCATCCATTTACAAGATTAGGGCATTCAGTCTAGATTGATGTGCTAGAACTATTTCAAGGTCCTGATGTGTTATTAAGGGTTGAACAAAGTGTTGATCAAGGGTTGAACAAGGTTTTGATCAAGGGTTGAACAAGGCTTTGATCAAGGGTTGAATAAGGTTTTGATCAAGGATTGAACAAGGTGTTGATCAAGGTATATTCTAAGGTGTTGACTTGTCAATGTTGACTTGGGTTTTCTTACAAATTTATTCAACAGTTACTTTATGAAAGACTATGCTTGATCTATGATAGATCAATGCCTTGTTACTGATATAATATCAAGGATTGAGATGTTTAGAAAAAGCATCCTAAACCAAATAGGAAGACAGCAGCGTATTAAATCAATGCTTGATCAAAATTTCGGATTTTTAAAATCTGTTTCTGTGAACATCGGAGCATGCATTAAATAAAAGTTATTACATGTACATGTATTGCGTAAACAGTATTTTCCAATTGCTTTTTAAGCCAGCTTCCTCAAAATACTGAAGGAAAAAGAGGTAACAGAAGGTCCAGTTTTCAGCAAAGATGGGAATTTTTACCTCGTTTTATATGTAGCTGGTAAGATCCGCAAAATCGACTTGGAAAATAAGAATGTAAGTTCTCAAATTCTCATTCAGATTCTCTGTCAGTTTGTATTTTTGTAATCGATGAGACATATTTACAAAAACCTCTATATGTTGCTTTAGATATTAATGGGTTTTTAGACTATTTAGATAAATCACAGATCTCGCTTAAACAAAGAGCATATTTGCATATGAAAAACTCATCAATATCTTTATCTAGCTATCTCAATCAAATATCTATCTTTAAACAATAAATGATAGAAATAACACCTTTTTTATAAAAGACGAACTTGAGTTAATATTGAATTTAGTGAATGGATTTTTAAAATAAAGGGACAAGAAAGAAATGTAAATGAAAGGACACCAAAAAGAACCATTCTTTTTTGCCGCTAATATTATTAATTCAACATTTATACTCAAGAAAATTGAAATCGAAATAAACATAATCTATCACTAATGACATTTCATGTTTTTGTAATTTTCAAAAATGAAGGATAAATGAAAGTTCGATGTGCTATAAAATCCTTAAAATAAGATTGAGATTTTAATTTGTTATATTCGCAGGCTAGTACATTGGTCTCTCCATCATTAGATGGTTTTCAAGGGATGCCACTAGGACTACAATGTGACCGCGAGAACAATATCTGGGTTGCTGATGGAAGACTTGGCTTATTGAAAGTGTATCAAAATGGTTCTTTCCAGCAAGTAGGTTAAGAGGAGAAAGCTAACATTAGGGAGTTTAAGCTTGCAATGTTTTTCACAACCTAAACGCAAACGACAAATATTTAAGCGGTGTATTTGTATGGGCGATTGGTCATACGTATAGGTTGGCGTTTCGATTTTATATGCAAGCTTAAACTCCCTAATATCTAGCCTAACACTCAAAATGTTTTTCACAACTCAACTGTGTAGCAATCATTTGACCACGCATGCGTTACCGCTAGCTCCGTTGACATTTGGACAATTGATGTCAGCAAGGATGACATTCTAGATGTCAGATTTCATAGTTCATAGTTCTCAGATTTAAACGTATTTTTACAATGATATTCCCTTGGGTTGAGCATTTAGCGGAACTACGTATGTACCATTTGTTGAAATCAGATTGATAGTGGATACCACTCTTGAACATTTTCTGGTTAGTTATCAATAATATCATAATAATTTTTTTTTTACTTTAATTCCAGGTAGCTACTGTAAATAATAAGAATGAAATTCTACAGGGGTTTAATGATCTTATGTTCGACTATCATGGAAATCTATGGATCACGGCACCACATGGTCCTATTGCCCCATTTAACTTCACACGATCGAATGAGGTAAATATTAGGGAGTTTAAGCTTGCATATAAAATCGAAATGCCAACCTATACGTATGACCGATCGCCCATACAAATGCATCGCTTAAATATTTTCCGTTCGTTCATGTTTAGGTTGTGAAAAACATCGCAAGCTTAAACTCTCTATTAATCGATTTAAGCCCAGCTTTGTGGACGATTTTAAGTACGGGGCTCTTGCATGAGACTTTAAACGAGGGTGGAAGCCCTTTTGATATCCCTCAAAATCATAGGAGACCCTATACGAATCATTAAAAATAATGTAAATCAAAAAGAAACTTTTTGTCAAGGTCAACACGCAAACGGAAGGGCAACTTTGCGCATGCTTCCTAACCGAAACTTCCCGAAACAATATTTTCGCATACGAACACCACAACAATGTACGACGTTCATATACTAATGGGAACGAATTTTACCCAAGTCCTATTCGCCAGTAAGCTTACTCGCAAGTTGATGTCGGGGGGTTTTCGTCTATGTGTAGGAAGGCCTTTATCACGGTTTTTATGTCACCACCAAAAAGTGGTGACATATTGTTATGGCCTTCGTTTTTTGACGGCGTTTGGCGATCGGCGGTCGGCGTCTGAAACAAATTCCTACAACTTCCAATAATTTAACAAATGCTTATAGACTGACTTCAATTGTTTTCAAAATCATCTACATGTTTTCAGAAGCTCAAATCTTACTTTATATTTAAGATTTGACCTTCGATGACCTTTTCAAGGTCAAAAAAGGTCAAAAAGGTCTTTTTTAACTTGCTTCAAATTGACCAATTTTTTTCAACATCATCTATAAGTTATTGGAAGTTCAAATCTGACTTAAGATTTGACCTTCAACGACCTTCATAAGGTCAAAGAAAGGTCAAAAAGATAGTTTTAAACTTCCTTAAAATCGACCAATTTATTTTCAAAATTAGCTACACGTTATCGGACTGACTTAACGTTTGAGATTTGACCTTCAACGACCTTCTTAAGGTCAAAGAAAGGTCAAAAAGGTATTTTTCAACTTTCTTCAAATTGATAAATATTTCGCAAAATCATCTATAAGTTCTCAACAGTTCAAATCTGACTATAGATTTGACCTCCAATGACATTCTCAAGGTCAAAAGAGATCTGACCTTCAATGACCTCCTCAAGGTCAAAAGGTTTCTTTTATGTTGCTTCAACTAGGTGATGACTGTCATGTTAATGCCTTGTATTCTATGTGTTGCCATCGTAGAATCTATCATTGAATTCAAGGAGCCATTTGGGAGTGTGTACTGTTACAATAATACAACTGATGAGATGATAAAGGCGGCTACCGGATTCCTATATCCCAATGGTATAGCTGTACAACATGATACCAATGGTGTCCCAATGAAAATAATCTTTGGAACGTCTCACAATGTTACTTCTCCGCTCTGGAGCTTTGACATCGTTGGCCCTTGTCAGATTGAGAACAAACAACTTTGGGGAAATCTACCAGGTAGGTTTGAGCTAGGATGAAGAAGAGAACATTCAATAGCACATATTTAAAATAACTGAATTCCAGAATTGACCTCGTTTATTCTAAGAACCTAATAGAGCCAGTCTAGTCATTTATATTCAATCTATAAGTTCAAATGATGTTACATTTTCCTCTACTTAATTCTAGCATAACAATAAAGTATGGACAAAATATGAATATAAAGATTGTTAAAGTTATCTCTCAGTCTCTAGCTTGAAAGTAATTCATCGAGGTTCATGATTATAAACCATGCCATCTCGTTTGTCCTCAGCCCTGAGACGCATGTTCAAAGTGAAACAGAAAGATGCTATAGCATCCAAATTCCATAGCACCCAAATTCAAAAAAATGTCCCAATTGATGTCGCCGTATGTTATCTCGGAAAATATTAGTGGTGTATCTTTAATTTCTGCATATATTTCATCAATAACCTCAAGGCCATATGTGAACATTCATTTTTGAATGGGAATTTCATAAATGGATTTTTACCAGGGCTCTAAAGTGTCAAAATGAATCATTCGTTACTGTCGCCATTTTGAATTTTGATTTTCAAGTCATGTTTACAGGTATTTATTATCACATTTTTTCGATTTCAAAACTACTTTACTTCGCAGCCGCATGATTCTAAGAGAAAGTGATAAACAAAGCCCATCTTGAACGATATATTATTTTGCACAGCCTTTCAAAGGGGTGTCGCCAGTTTCCAAAAATTCAGAAAAATCATCGTTACTTGGTTCATTCATTCCAATTATATGAGTCTGGAATTGAGATAAGAAATGAAATAAAATGTAATTTTGAAAGATTGTTTATGTTTTCAATGGAGGACATGCGTCAAGTCCGAGGTGCGTCTGCATTTTTCACATTTGCTTGTAGAAACAAGCCAGTGCCTTGAGTTCGTTTTAAGAAAAAAATGTTCGTTACCATCAGAGAAACGTGTTAGACCACATGGCATAAGCTTTTACTCTTTCCATAAAATGATATTGAAGCGGGAACGTTCGCCCGGTTCTTATATTGAGACTGGGAGAGGAGAATAGTATAGCGGGAGGGGTTAACAAGAGTAATTTCTACCAACTCTAAAAGTCAGAGTCATGTAGCGTACCTTCCACATATACTTACATACGACAAACTAATCCAATGTGTTTCAATAATATATTTCCAGTATAATTAATTCCTTTAGTAAATTAGTACAATACAGCTTTGTACATCATATCTCCGGTAAATCTGAATGCTCATAAAATATAAATCTGTAGAACGTGTAGAGAGTTGTAAAACTGTGTAAATCTTGTAAAGGCTAAAATATATGTTCAAATCTTGTCAAATCTAAAATCTGTTCTCTCGCACCTAGTGATGACATTTTATACTGTATTTTCCTACCCTTATGAGCCAATCATGTCCATTCTCAGTCGAACGGATCATGATTGACAGCAAAGGGCAGTCTTAACCAAATAAAATGTCATCCCAAAGGTGCTCACTGACCAGGCCACGTGTCAGAAAGATGATGAACTAATGAAACGTTGATTAAAAGAAACACAATAATGAAAACTATATGATCGTTCTGCTACACAGCTCCCCACAAGCCGTTGGAAACTCCTGTGACAACAGAACTTTAATAACGGAGCAAACGATCAAATATTTTAAACGAAAAGTAATAAAATTGTCAAATATACTAAGTGAGTCACCATTTAAAATCAACATTTTTGCTAATAATATGTCCATAATAAATAATCCAACCATGCGATGCTAGAATTGTCTCTTGGTGTTCATTCAGTCCATGATTCGATAATAAAATCCAGTAGTTTAAGTCTATAAAATCAGCGTCTCGTTTGTCAGCCTCCCCGTCAGCATCCGCCATATTGGTACTTTCACTGGATCCCCGTCGACTGGAATTCGCCGGTAATTAGAGTCCGTAAAGAAACAACCAGATAGCTACGGCATTTCAGGAACCAAGCTGAGTATAAGTTGACATTAAGGAATTCCATCCGTAGTGCTGGGAACGCCCTAGAAAAATTACGCCTTCCTGCAACATACGTGGGAAAGCATCCCATAACATTGTCTTCTTTCCCCTCGAACGACTGGTAGCGCCTCGGGGAATTGTCATCATGCAAGGCTTCCCACAGACATCTTCTTTTCCCCCTCGAAAGACTGGTAGCGCCTCTGAGAATTGTCATCATGCGAAGACTTCCCACAGACATCTTCTTCTTTTCCCCTCGAAAGACTGGAAGCGCCTCGGAGAATTGTCATCATGCGAAGACTTCCCACAGACATCTTCTTCTTTTCCCCTCGAAAGACTGGTAGCGCCTCGGGGAATTGTCATCATGCAAGGCTTCCCACTGACATCTTCTTTTCCCCTCGAAAGACTGGTAGCGCCTCGGGGAATCAGCGTGTCACCCACTTCATAAGACTTGGTCAGAATATACACTGCCATTACGGTTTTTTTTTATCTCCAGGCCGACTGTCCACACAGCTTCAGGGCACATTTCTTACATCAATACGCCGAGCCATCAATACGCTCTTCCTCGAGCGTCACAATCATTCATTTAATTTCTCATTGTCAAGTTTATTCAACTTGACAATACATTTCCTCTAACAGGAAAACAACAATTCATTAAATAATGAATCAACAAACTCTTCAGGGAAGCACAAAGGTACCGTTTGATTCCCACCAAGCATTTTAAACCAAGCATCATGACTTATCAAGATTGGACTTTATACCCCGCCAGTCAAAATAAAGTAACACTCAGCTGATCAGACTGAGTTCATCAATATAATCGGACTTATCCTGGGTGGGCAATCTGAATAGATTTCTTTAAAGGACTAGACATTCATGCCAAAAAGACATCAACCAATAAAGTTAATCTAATACGTCCAGAAAATGCTTATTCTTGCCTCGTACCCTAAGTACCCTGGCACAGAGGGCAAACAATTTTCCCTCTTCAAACTCCAATCTAACTCTCAAGTCATCTCTTTCCCTTACGGAATCATGCTCATGCTCAGAGTATCATTTATTCATAATGATTGTCAGATATCTTTCAAAACCCGATATCTCAATGTCTCGCATATTTAATTCGTGAATACACCCCGAATTACTGGCTTCTTGGACTAGGAAGCAGTCAACGACCATGCCTAATTGAACGCATTTTTGTTGCTCTCTGACATACCAAGTACATTTAACAAATTCACTGCCAAATCATTTCAATAGATCTGTTTTCTTTTATATCATTGTTAAACATAATCATTACATAACGTTATCACTACAATCTACTTCTTTACTGTATGTACACACGGCTCACTACCGTGAAATATGCTTTCATTTAGCAATTGCCATTCACATATCAGTGGGTACACGACCGTTGACACGATACGCTTTGTCAAGGACATCCACTCCCGGGCATCTACTTATTTTTGTATTCAACTGATATCCTCATTCAATTCAGGATTAACAACTTAATTATTTTCCTGATTATCGGGAACCTAATCGATTCGCACCCTCTCTTTTGATGTCTGGACCCCAGACATTTGCCTCTCAACATGACATGGCCCTGTCTACTTTTTCTTCAGACCCTGTTATATTTGGGTACTTTTATAAATTCAGAGTAGGCTAGCAATGTTGCAGAAGCCCCTGTGTCAATTAAAAAGTTAGAATATATTTAATTATTTACATGTATGTTTATATACATCCCCTCTCAGTTGTTTGCATTCTCTATAATACATCTCTGAGAGGTTTTCTCTAGGGAGTCGTTTACTCCATCTTTGGGGCATTAATGGCCCTCTTTTCAAGTACCACTGTCATATCCAATGGAGGTCGTATCGTTGTTTTCAAGACCTCGTCTTGCGCAACATACCCCGACGCGGCGCCTACTTTTCCAAACGCCTTACTTTCTCCTGGGGTTGCGTAACCAGAGGGTTGATCAGGTCCTCGATGGGTCATTTTCATCTGAACCTCATCTTCATACACAGACCATACACTCCTTTTATCATCTTCTTGATAATATTGTGTTTTTTTATTATCCTCCATAGCGCTTATTGATTTTTAGCTTATCAATAACAACTCTTTACGTACGACCTAGAGTTACCGTTGTTTATTTATTTTTAATTGCCTCGACAAATTACTTTATGTACAGAGACAATTGGGAGGGGGTTTACTTTGGTAACCTGATATTGTCTAACAGGCAATCAGAATTTATCAACTCAGGCGTTACATGCACTTGTTAGTATTTATTCAGATACAATGTTTTTATTATCAATTTCCACACGCATTAGTTCCTTAAGCAACTATCTAGTGTGTGGGAGTCACTTCAATCAAAACACTATTTTGGTTCAATTCGTGTTTATGGTCTATTCTCAGGGCATTCATCAAACCATATCACAATAACACAATGGCTATTTCCTATTTCAATTTCAGTACCTCGCAAGGAGTGATACCAAGTACGTGATAATATCAACTACCTGTCACTTCGAGCGCACCTTAGAAGGATCAAGCAATGTTTTCAATTGTACCAATTTCACCACATTCAATGAATGTACTCGATAAAAGCATTCAAAATGAAAAACCAACAGATATTATATAATCTGATATAATAGTTTGCATTTCAATGAAGTTTACAAGCATTAGTCATTCCCACACAACACGATGTGAATCTCTCTAGATACTTGCAAGTAATGCAATTTTTCGTATTTCAGAAATTTCACTTCTCCAAATTTCTTTTACAAACGTTTTTTCTTTACCAAAACATTTCTTTCAACGCAAATACGTTTTATATTTGGACTATATCAGAGTTTAAAGCAGTATTCTTATACTGACACTCATAAACACACCAGAGTACTTCAAAACATATATTATATCAGTTTTACAATATACTCAGTTTTTGCGGGTTTCTTTCAACAGAATCACCACTTACACATCTATGTAAGCGATTACTCCAAAAAAAGGGGGGGGGTTGACTCGAGCCTCGCCGCTAATGTACATTTACGGTAGCGATTTACTAATTAGCAGCTTTATTAATGAGTCAAGTTTCAAATAACAAGGGTAATACACAGCTTCTTCTGTTCTTGTTTCAGATTCGACTCTTGCCCTGAGGGTACACCTGGGTACTAGAACCTTTCTTTGAACGAAGCTTCAATACAATTTCAGAATCAGATTCAATGCAGTTCACAGTATTTTCTTACTGTCAAACTGATTATTTTAACTTATTACAGATTTACTGTACTAGAGCTTCTTCTGGCTCTCTGCAGTTAATGCTGTACCATCGAATCATTTAAGATGGAAACTACTAGCATGATATTCAGATTCGAATTGTAGCTTTACTGTACTAGAGCGTCTTCTGGCTCTCTGCAGTGTTTGCTATACAATCGAATCATTTAAGATTGGAATTACTAGCATGAGATTGAGATTCTGATTGTAGCTTTACTGTACTAGAGCTCTTTCGGCTATCTGCAGTTTTTGCTATACAATCAAATCATTTATTTTAGCATGAAATTCAGATTCAGATCCTGATTGTAGCTTTACTGTGCTAGAGCTCTTTTGGCTATCTGCAGTTTTTGCTATACAATCGAATCGATCATTTAGTTTGTAGTTCTCCCAAATCTCACCCTTTGCTGCCACCAATGAAGCGGGAACGTTCGCCCGGTTCTTATATTGAGACTGGGAGAGGAGAATAGTATAGCGGGAGGGGTTAACAAGAGTAATTTCTACCAACTCTTAAAGTCAGAGTCATGTAGCGTACCTTCCACATATACTTACATACGACAAACTAATCCAATGTGTTTCAATAATATATTTCCAGTATAATTAATTCCTTTAGTAAATTAGTACAATACAGCTTTGTACATCATATCTCCGGTAAATCTGAATGCTCATAAAATATAAATCTGTAGAACGTGTAGAGAGTTGTAAAACTGTGTAAATCTTGTAAAGGCTAAAATATATGTTCAAATCTTGTCAAATCTAAAATCTGTTCTCTCGCACCTAGTGATGACATTTTATACTGTATTTTCCTACCCTTATGAGCCAATCATGTCCATTCTCAGTCGAACGGATCATGATTGACAGCAAAGGGCAGTCTTAACCAAATAAAATGTCATCCCAAAGGTGCTCACTGACCAGGCCACGTGTCAGAAAGATGATGAACTAATGAAACGTTGATTAAAAGAAACACAATAATGAAAACTATATGATCGTTCTGCTACAATATCAAACAAACAATAGAAAAAAACTACCTGGAGTTTGTGTAGCCCTCTTGCAATGAGCAAAAAGTCCAATTAACCACACGTTCGAAATCATTGTTACTGTATTATTCGTTACCATGAATACGAAGACTATAACTTTTTGCTAAAATGCGGCATTATTATTGGTTTTAGATTTATGACGTAAGTGTGTTAGAGTCTGCCGTTGCTTAAAAATTGGTTGTTGGACTTCTGTCGCATGTAATTTTACACAGATAAGAAAATATCCATCACAGATGAGATCTGAAGAAATTTGCTTATTTTGCCGATCATACAGAATATCCATACACAAAACTAAGTTCAACTTATGATAAAATAGTTTAATATTGCATAAAACTAGCTTGGTTGTATTTTCGATAGCTTGGGAATTCGATAACACTTGTTATAATTGGTGAATTCATCGTTATGTACGTAACGATGAATTCAATTATCTGTGTTAGAATTATAAACATATATGGCATTGGTATTTTTGTTCACAATTGATTTCCATCAAAACTAGGGGATCTGGTCGTCATTAGTTAACATTGAAAAAGGTCACAATTCGCATATTTACGTTTAAATCGTATTAATTCATGACTAAAACATCAAATTAGTTATGGAACGGAATATTATGATATACTAGGCCCGGAGATATACACTGTATGCTTTATTCATAGAATATTATAAATGTTAAAAACATTTTTATATAATGCCAAAGAAATGCTGAAACCAAATGTATAGGTTTTCAACCATACAAATCCTTTGAATAGTAAATTTTTGCAGATGAAAAAGACAGAAGACAAAATGTACAGTAGCGTTTGCAAGCAAAGGACAGTGAAAGGGAAGAGAGAGAACGAAAGGATTCGATCTCGACCTTATCGAATGAGTTATCTCAATCTGATAGACTCAAAAGAAATGCCATACAGCTCATGGACTCAATCTGTCCATTGTTCAGTGAAAGCTTTCAAATTAGCAGGGTAGCAGACCCATCAATGGCTGCACTGCCCTCCGTTGAGTCAAAACACATGTTCCCCCTACAAATGTAAAATGGGGTGAAGTAGACAATAGCTAGGCAAGTGACTGACTGTTTTATTTGTATTATATATTTTATTATGTGGATCATGTAGATATGATCAAGGCAATCTCAGTTGATGTTGAATTATTTTGTGTGGCACTTTAAGCATCATTACATCATTGTAACGAAACTTTCTTCAAAGGTGATTTTTTGTTCAGCGAATGTAAGTTTTACTTTTTGCTTGTATATGTTCAGGTGTTACTGAAACATATTTTTATTATTGTGTAAACAACAACCACCAACTAAAACGTTCTAAAAGGTATGACCATTCTTATAAATATACACTATAATCCAAGTTTTACTAAATGTATACATGATTTCGGATTTGTGACAAAAAGTATTTACTATATACTTTGATATTGTACATTTGTATTCCTCCTAAGGGGTAGCAATCGTGTAAGAAACATGTTACGGATTCACCTAATGTTTTTTTCATTGCAGTGTGAATAATCACTGGAAATGACTACCCAAAGTTGGTTAATACACTGCATTTGTTATCATTATTTTTCTAATTTAAACCAAAAATACATACAGAAATCCTCGTTACTTTAAGATGCTTAAGTTGAGATATATTTTTTTCAGAAATGTCTTCAGTAACTGCAGGAAAAATACAGCCCATCAGGTTTTCCTTAGTTGAAACTTTCTTTTTAACTCAAAAATAATATATTTTCATTCGTTTGTAATCCAATATGTAAGTTGCTATACATGACACATTTCTGACCAATGAAAAGTTTTACAATTTAAAAACGAATGGTTAATTTTAAGACCATATAAGTTTGTTTTGCTGTACATATTCTGAAGTTTTGTTTGATATTCAGAATATAGACACATATTACAGAAATATAAAGTATTTCATATACAAAAATAATTAATTGGATCTAAAGGTTACGCAATGAACTAAATATATATATGTAGTAACGGAGGTTTTTTATGCCTTATTCCAATAAATTTTGGTCGACATATAATATGCCATATCTTGAAAACGAGGAGGAGATTGTTGAAAATATTTCACAGTATTATCTATCAATATATGTTCTTTTGTCTCAACAAAAAATAATCAGTGCTACTCTGACTTCAAAAATCAGATTTTTCAAACCTGAAATGGGACATTTTTTTGAATTTGGGTGTATGAGTATCAGAATGATCGTATTAGTAGCTGTTTACACATAACAATTTAATGTTCATTGTTTTCTTTTATAGCCAACAGTTACATAGATGGAATGGACTTTGATAAAGAGGGGAACCTCATAGTTACGGATTATGTATCTAGTACGCTGTTTGTCTACGGTCCAGATGGAGGTCCACCTATATGTCAATTAAAATTACCATTTAAACACGTGACTAATATTAACTTTAGACCGGACTCCAATGAGCTCTATATAACTGCAAAATCACTGTGGATGCTACGATGGAATTCAAATGGAATGGAGCGATATTGTGATAGACTTTAAATGTGCAAACGTTCACCATCCTCCGAGCAGGCCTCCAGAACTCGTATCTCCTTCTTTCTGGAAGAAGGTTTGAACGTAGTGGATGATGCTGGAGCCCTGCCTTCGGAGAATGGGATGACACCGCCTAATAAAAAACGTGTGTGCTGATTGTCTCACAATTTCTCAACTCTGAAAATAAAAATAACTAATACTTTAATATGAAATAAAATTATGCATCAGTCAGTTTATCGATGTATACAAAATTAAACCAATATAACATGGTGGTGTAAGAACAGAGCGTTAAGCTGCCACTGTTTTCCACAACCTAAACGCGAATGTAAGTGATTTCAGTGATGCATTTGTATGGGCACTTGGTCATACGTATAGGTTGGCGTTTCGATTTTATATGCAATCTTAAACTCCCTAAAATCTGTTGATAGTACCTCTAGATAAAACTGACGACTGAGTGTGAAATAATACATGGCTAATTATAGTCTATTGAATAAATATCGTCCACCTGTGAATGGTTCTTCTTCTGATTTTACTAAAACACTTTTTAAGGTGTCTGTCTGGTGAAAATATCGGCATAACTACATGTATATCACTGCAAAAGTGAAACATAAAATATTATACAAATATTTTATTCTATTTATGTGAATACATGCACCTGTACATCTTTCACAAGTGATATTCCCCTACAGTCCTGGCTTCGGGGATTACTCGGAACTTGTGAAAGATGCACAAGTATTCATTGAAAATAGAATTAGATATTTGTTCAGTTATTAACTGCTAATATTTCCACTCTCAAGATATTCACTAATGTTTTTTGTTTCCTTTACCGTGTTATCTGAATGGATATAATAGAAACATATAAGTTTTATATGTCTCTGGATATAACCATGAAATGATATGTAAAGTACACGGGACAAAATGCCCGATATGAAAGTACACTGGACGAAATACCACCCGGGAAGTATGGTTCGGATTTTACGATACGGACTAGTAGCCGGGGAATTTGGCAACAATCTATAATAGGCAGTAAAACAGAAACATTGTGTATGGTTCTTAACATATTGTAATTTATGATTTTAAAGTGTACATCGTTGGTCATTTGGACTCGATGATAACGACTGTCGGCAAACAGGCCTCTTCAACACCATTTACTCATCCAGTGACTGTATAGATATACGTACTATACCTGTAGGCCTACGTCTACCTGTATTCACAGTCACTCTGGATGATCTGGATGCTCTTCAACTCTTGAATGTTGAAGAGCATTTTCAATACGTCATCAGTTGACCTACTTAATAAACATTTGGTCTTCCCTGGCTGGTGTTTTTAGGGAACGGTCATCATTATTCTCTTGGCACCATTTTCACGTCCATATGATACGTCTCAAAGATTATTGTTTTGTCACTCCTAGCATCCTAGAGGTGCTTGCTCGTCTCACAAGATCAACGTTAGTTATTTAATTTCTGGGAGTATATTTTGTAAAATGTTTTGATAACCATAGTGCGTTTTAGGTCACATTAGGAAAATCAACATTCATGATTATTTGAAACATGCCAAACATAAATTAGTCCTACACGCAATGGATGAACCATTAGCTACGCTCCACTCTATAAGTTCGGCAACCAGATATCCTTTTTCTGATCAAAGCCTGATTACGTTTGCTGATTCATAATGATCATAGATTTCCGAACTATTGAACAATGAACAAACTTAAAGGCCCACTTTGCGAAGTTTCAACATTTTTGGGCAAAATAAAGACTTACACTTAAATTTCATAGTATGTCTAATGTATTGATAAGAACCTTATCTTTCATTTGACACTTATAAAAGCTCAAACGGACCACATCAAAGCATACATTAAATTATCAAAACAATAGTTTCGATCTGTATATCAAGTTTTTTATCTATGTCATTGAAAGATGCAAAGTTGTTTGTATTACATGATACATTCATTTTTATAAAAGTGCCGCCATCTTTTAAATCAACAGTAATTTAAAACATGCACTTTGTTTAACATGTGCATGCATGTCTAATGATCTCTGAACTTCAAATGCTTTTTTCTATGCGAGTTATTTTTTCTTGGTTCAACAACATTAAAGCAAATCAAACTTGGTGTCATATTTGAGCGAGTGTGTGAGTAACATGTTTTAATGATTATTTTTAAGTTTTTCTTCTAAATTAAGTAGAGTGAGCCTTTAAGATTCAAATATTGACAGGTTTTGATATGGTATTTAGTGAACTTATAGAGGATAGTGTGTGTCATCAAAACTATCCAACTGTTTCCTGAAATCGATTCAAGCATTAAAATAGGAGGAAACATTATGCTAGGGTTCTAACTGAATATCGATTTTGTAAATTTTAAGTGAGGCAGTTTCCTCTTAAACTGAGGCTGTTGCCTCACATGCCTGGCTACGCCCAACGTCTGAAGATTGTAATGAGTTAAAATAATTTTTTACTACAGATACTTTTCTTTTTCCAATTTTTAAGAGCATAATGGATTTGGTGGGATCCTTGCATGGGATTCGATAAAGAACACTGGGAAGGAGGTGACAACGAGTTTCGCAGCGCAAGGGCAAGAGTAAAAGAACAATGTACTGGAATAATGTAAAGCAATTCAACGCCAAACTACTCTTTAATATAATGGGATAAGGTGAATTTTTCACATGACGAATTAGCAACACAGGAAAACCTTTGAAATCATATATACTGATATACTATGACACACAAAGCAAAAAATGACAAAGTTATGGAAGTTGCTGAGTTAGTCGGCTGTTGTGTCGTAGGCGTTTGTGTCGTAGGCGTTTGTGTAGTAGGCGTTTGTGTGGTAGGCCTTTGTGAAGTTGGTAGTTGTGTAGTATGTGAAGCTGTGGACAGTTGAGTGAAATTACTGTCAGAAGTAGTGACATTGCGAGAATACAGATCCTGAGTAGGTCTGAAATTATTCATCATCCTCTCGCCATTGTGTGAGATAATTTGCCTGAAATTGTCAATCTGGAAATGAAATCAGTTCAAGAGATAGTAATAAGCATGTATTTGTCAATCGGGAATTAAAGATGGTTTAAAGAGATAATAACATGTATTTATTCTTCTGGAATCTAACTTAGTTTCAAGAGATAATAGGCATGAATAGTTCCATACGGAGTTAGAATTAATTCAAGAGATAATGCGTCTGTTCATTTGAAATTAACTACGGATTTACAGTAGTATCTTTACTGGCCAGATTGTACTTTTTATTTTCCACTGTAAATAAGCACGGAGGTAACTGGACAACTCGGACCCAGGACAACTCGGACCCAGGACAACTCGGACCCTGGACAACTCGGACCCAAGACATCTCGGACCCAAGACAACTCGGACCCAAGACAACTCGGACCACTTTTGAAATGATGATATTTACATCATAATATGGGGTTTTAATTTTTGTTTTATGTTTAGATGACATATATTATGTACTGTGCATTCATTTATTGTGTTAATTTGATGAAATTGTTTTAAATAAACTTATTATTTGATGGTAGTTAAGAAGAAAATATTGAAGCTAAAGACCCAAGACAACTCGGACCACTTTTTGAAATTATGATTTTTATCATGATATGGTACTTTATTTTTTATTTTATGTTTAGTATGACATATTATATATATTTTGAATTCAAATGTTGTGTTAATTTGATGTAATTGTTTAAAATCAACTTAATTGATGAGAATTAAGAAGAAAATATTGAAGCTAAAGATCCAAGACAACTCGGACCACTTTTTGAAATTATGATTTTTATCATGATATGGTACTTTATTTTTTATTTTATGTTTAGTATGACATATTATAAATATTTTGAATTCAAATGTTGTGTTAATTTGATGTAATCGTTTTTTGTTTTTTTTTGTTTAAAATGTATTTATTTTAAGAGGATTGCCCAGAAGCATTTCGCTTATCGAGGGTCTCTCCTCTCTTTATTATTTACATTATAATTAGAGATGTTGGAATATACTATAATAATTGAAGTTTAAATTAGTAAGTGTGTTTGACGATTATCATGGAAAACGTCCAGTGTTTTTTATGTAGTTTTGACAAAGCATTAGGATATTTTGGTTTGATGTTGGGGTTAACAAGGGGCTACCATGAATGAGCAATTGAACCTTAGATGCAATAGATTTGAGGTTATGTCTGGTTTTAGGAGGGTATTGTTCAATTATGTAATCGTTTACAATCAACTTAATTGATGAGAATTAAGAAGAAAATATTGAAGCTAAAGATCCAAGACAACTCGGACCACTTTTTGAAATTATGATTTTTATCATTATATGGTTTTTATTTATTTTATGTTAAGTATGACATACTCGTATACATATTGTGAATTCAAATACTGTGTTAATTTGATGTAATTGTTTTAAATCAGCTTAATATTTTGGTGAGTTTTCATGTTCGGATCGTAATATCAGATCAGGTGTTATATCGACGCATAAACCCTTTAGGTCTAGGCACAAAAGCTTTGGCCAGTTTGGGTACAGAACGCGTTCATGCCTAGCCCTACGGGGTTTATTCGTCCATATAACGACTGATGTTCAGTCTATATTTCTTAATTAAATGATAAAAATGAGGATTTACAGAATACAAACACATTCCTCAATCTTTCAGTGAGATTAAGATTAAATTATCAAAAAACTTTAGGATTAACAGAATACAAACTCTTTCATTGATCTCAATACGGCATCAATCTTTCAGTGAGATTAAGATTGAATTTACAGAATTTTAAGTTTCCATTGATCTCTATGTGACATAGGTCTTTCAGTGAGATTAATAAGATTAATAAGACCGCATGATGGTGAGTGTAAATGAGATAATGAGATTAGGATTAAAATTATTATTGTTTCAATTCCTTAGTGATTTTCCAAATGAGTTGGTATTATATATATATATTGTTTATCGACTCTTTAGATGTCATATCATGACATATTAGTCACTTAGGTAGAGCAGTTCTTCCTATTGTCGAGTTGAAGAACTGGTATCTTTATCCTGGCTAGAACCATAGACAATTCTAGCCAGGGCCAGCCTTTTATCGAGTTAGCAGCACTCTAGTAATCGCCAGTATAGGCCAGCAGTCATAGGTCAAAGACAAATCACAAGAAGTGCTGTGAATTAACTGTATGAAAAGACTCATTGACACCTCTGTATTCTCAACTCTCATCAAATAAGTTAATTGAAACATCTTGTTCATCTTTACATGTAAACACAAAATATAGATTCACAATATATCTAAACCGTGTCATGCTAAACATTTATAAATAATCCCATATTATGAAAACAAAAAAGTACCTAACAAAAACTAACATTTCAGAAAGTGGTCTGTGTTGTCTTGGGTTTATAGCTTCAGTAGCTTCTACTTAATCTTTATCAAATAAGTCAAATTAAAACATTTTAATCAAATTAGTACAAAACATGTATTCACAATGTATAATATATCTAATAAGCATAAAACAAAGACTAAAAACCCTAAACAATGATAAAAATCATTATTTTAAAAAGTGGTCCGAGTTGTCTTGGGTCCGAGTTGTCTTGGGTCCGAGATGTCTTGGGTCCGAGATGTCTTGGGTCCGAGTTGTCCAGGGTCCGACTTGTCCTGGGTCCGAGTTGTCCGGAAACCAGCACAGACATCATTTCACAGTTCAGTAAAAGCTTCGACTAAGGTGGTTAAAACGAAAAAAGCAAACAAAACAAAAGACTCTTACCTGTGTGTTGGAGATGGGAATCGTACTCTCGAAGACTGTCCAGATGACGCTTTCGTAACAAGCAGGGGAGGTCAGACAACCCGAGTAACGGAAATATTTGTCCAAACTGCTAATGGTGGGAATAATACTCTGCAGGGAGAACGATGGCACTGATCCCTCAGCTGAAAGCAAACATTGAAATATTGTCTTATCCACAGTGAAACGATTTATCAAGCAGGATTTTAGTTTGTTCTACTTGTGTGCATTGCTTGGTCGATCAGCTTGCGTTTATCAAGGCATCTATCAAGGATGCCTATTTCAAGATAGACGTCCTTATGTTGATGAAGATAGATACATGCATATGACGCGATTGTGCATACATGACATAATAAGTTGGGGCACTCTCTCATCTTCAATTTTGAGGCTGCAATGAGTGAATGCCTTTTAAAGACTGCCTAAACCTTGCAAAAACATTAAAATACGTTACATTTGTGGAACACCATGTGGGATCAGAGACATACACATAGGTTCAGTTGTCTCAATCAGAATACACATGTTCATCTTTTAAATTATAGTTTCCTTTTCATAAAATTTTATTAGAATGTATATTCTGTTTACAAACTTAAAACACCCCGTCGATTTCTAGAGAATGTCTCCTAATTGATGGGGTTTTCAAAAAAAATACAGATTACTTAAACTGTTCATAGTACTATTTCCATCTCTTAAATAACAGATTCATTTTCACAAAACTCGTAGTAGAATGAATATTCTTTATACAAACTCAAAACACTCCGTCGATTTTTTGATGGATGTGTTTTTAAAAAGACCAATGTTAAATATTTTGAGCTTTGTGAAGATAACTACAGTAGATCAGGTACTAAAATAAAAAGACTTTAAAAGGAACGTTCATAAGAGGTAACATACTAGTTATTTCAAATATTTATTGAAAAACATCACATCAAAAATAGTTGTAAATACTATCCATTATAAGATATTTCAGTTTCAAATGATGTGGTCATTTCCATAACTTTTTATTGCAAGTCTATGATCTTAATATTACATACGTGTGTATATCAACAAAATAGTGAATTGAGGTATTCAAAGATTTAAAGGAAAATGAAGGCTATATAATGTATTCTATATTATGTCTCTTAAGATTATCCAAGGGTGAATTAACAAGAAAGCAGGGCTGAAAAAAGATGATATAAAAGATGATACAAGGGAGGTCATACCTATGGGAGTTCCGGTAGCATTCAAGACGGTACCGTTGAGTGCATTGAGTATAGGGTCGAAGTATGAGTTGTCGACATCCCCTACCTAAAATCACGACAGTAAATCATATTAAATCCTTTACATATAGATAAAAATGCATGACACGAATAAGGTGCAAGTTTCAATCAAAAAATCTAAATCTTTTAACCACCTCCAGAAAACTTGAGAATCCTTGAAACTCGAATAAAGGTAACCTTAAAAACCAAAGTTGTTTTTATAGACACATATGTTTAATTACACACTGAATTCAAATATGACATCATCAAATAGACACATATTGTTATCTTATGGTTAAAAAATGCAGATTTCCATAAAATCTCATTAAAACGAGACTTCAACGAGATTTCAAAACTCTTCAGCGTTGAAAACAAGAAAAACGATGGCCATTTTGTTTTTTGGAGTTCCTTTTGGAAGTTGTCCCATTAACAAAGATTTTAACCTATAAATCACTAAGTTTTCCAATACTATTCAATCTGATTATTAGGGAATAGACTTTCTTCTGAAAATGGCAGCCATTTTGAATTAAGTAGCCATTGGGCAGACGATGACTTACTACAAAGAAAAATCCAAGAACGGCGAGTCCCCTGTCCTTGTCGAGTGCATGGGAAATATTATCCATTGCTGTATTGTAATGGGCAATGTGCAACTGTAAAATATCATAAAATAAAACTTGTTTTTCACCAACTACAGTTCGATTATGCTTCTTTTACTACATGTATGTCTAATACTTCTATTACAGCTTTGAAATGTTACTTTATCATTTGCGAGTGAAACCGGAATATGAAGTTAGATAAAAAATGTGCTTGAGAACTAGCAGACTATGAACGGAACCGTCGTACTTCAATCCTACTAGTGACGTTTTTACAACGAGTTGAACTGTCTGAGGACGTATTGAGAACGAGGTAGAACTGATTGCAAACGGGTTAAACTGATTAAGAACGTATTTATCAACGAGTGGCAAAAATATAGCTATCACACCAAGCAAGTTGCCACTGCGTTCTTCAAAACTGGTTTAAAACTGTGTGCGAACGGAATGAACGTAGCTACAACGTTCTACGGTCTGTTTACGAACTTCATGGACTTTCCCGGACGGGGAATGTGATTTAGAATTTTGAATCGATTCAAAATTCGATGGCGACCATACCGTTCTGTAATCGATGACCTTCTAGACTAAGGGACGCGTTATACGACGTTGCACACCGACGCGGTGCGACCTGAACGAACTGCGAACGAGATGGCCATGGACGTATTGAAGACTGTTTATGAAGGAAGTAGCTAATAATTTTAGACATATTTCCCGACCACAGCCAGATTGAGCCCGTTTTACGACGTTTTCGTATGACTGGCAAGAACGGGTAAGAACTAGTTTGGTGTGATAGTGGGGTAATAAATAGATAAAATATTATACATGATAATAATGATGAAATTAAAGGGGCAATAAGGACTGTAGAGAGAAAATTCGAAAAATTTTATTTTTTCTAAGCTATCAGGTCAATATTTGGCTTAATACCTTCTTTGACATACCTATTTTCATAAAATCAGCATTTAGAAGTGTAAATTCAATTCAAAGCTTCTATAAAGGGAGTCCCACTTATAGATTTTTAAGATCCACCATGTTTCAAGAGGAATATCAGCTGAAATAATGTTCATCCAGAGGGTTTCTTTGTAGATAATGAAAATATATGTTAGTCTTGATGAAATATCCAAACCTAAATATATTTTGACACTTGTCGATGATCGTTGAATGGCCCCCCTGCACTATTTGTAGTACCTTTAATAGGAGCCCATCGGGGCCTCTTTATAAATGTTATAGAAAAAGTTTAAAATGTTCATTTGACCATGGAGGCGAACAATGATCAATTTTCGTTTCATCTGTACTTGAGAAAAAAAGACAGGCCCAAAGGTCAATCTTCACACCAAAGCCTCTGAACCAGTTACATGACCCTACCCTACCTGTAAATCCATTGTTGACGACTCTGTAGTTCTTAGTAGCATCCGATTGACCATAGTTCGTTAGAGTGAGGGGGGTTAACGTCTCGTCATAGTGCATAGTATTTGTATCAAAGTTTACGGGGCTTTGTTTTTCCCCGCCACAAAATGGATAATCATTTTTCCAATATTCTGGGCCTAAAACATATTGAAACAAAATTTATCTTAAGGCTAGATCTAATAGGCGAGACAAACTTGAACAGTTAAGTACGAAAAGTATGAAAATGTATACGTTTCAATATGAGTTCCGAAATCTGTTGTGATTCCATTCTTTGCCAGCTCTATATGATATATTATCCATTTGGGGTATTACATGTATGCACATGGTCGTAGCCTAATTCTCAAAAAATCACAAATATTCATCAGCGTAGATGCGCAAAAGACATAAATAATTTAAGATGGAAATCTACTTTTTGAATGAAAATCTAATGATATGATAATTGTTTAATATATAGCTTATTCAAACATATGTGAATTATATGATAATACATGTACGATCTTGGCATCATTATGAAAATATACTTTTATTCTGGATAAAGTAGTATTCGAAAAGAGGTTGAGGAAAGGAATTCCATAAATCCAAGGTTTTAAAGCAAACGCCATCAATAATGCTGGTTAATACATTTTTTTCAATGAATGTACAAACATGTAGCATTCCATACGTCATTTGGATGAATAACAAAATCATGAGCGAACAGTACGTATGCTATTAAAATTTGAAGGGCGTTAAGTCCAACATTAAAGGGTTTATACTCTACCGAGCACATTAAAAATGAAAATGAATGAATAAAAATGAAATTCTTATTTTCTGAATAACGATAAAAGAGAAAAGCACCTATTTTAGTCGTAATTTTATTGTATCAAGTTTGTCTATCTTTAGGATTTGACTTTAGCCTTAGCATGTATTAGTTAATGAAAACACAGAATGAAATCCTGGGCTAAGGGCTGGTGTGAAAAAGTTAATCCCACCCCAGCGTTGCAGCCATGTCTTACACGCCCAGTTTTCTGGACCCCATATAAGTTATCTGTCTATCCAGGTTGTCAATCATTTTATTCATGATGTCACGTGGACTTTCCTACTGACCATTTCCCAATGTGTTATTTTTTCATCATGTATATGACATAGACAAATCAGAGAGTGAGGATGTCTTGTAAACATTGTTATAATTATAATCATCCAAACCTTGGAAATGTTCTTGGAATACTATTTTGACACTCTTAAAAATGAATTACTTGAGTATTTCCCAAGTATTTCCCAAGTATAAAAATTACTTAAAGTTAAATACTTAGTTTTACTTCATTTTACTTAGGTTTAACTTATATTGTCATTTTGAGTTTTTTAATTGCTTAATTATGTAAATGAGTATTACAATTACAACAGTAAGTATTTCAATTTCTCTCCTTGCATTAGTAAATTCACCATAAATGATTTACTTAAAAATTACTTAAAAATTATTCAGTAGTTCAAGATTATTTAAGTAATTTTTGACTTAAAATGAGTAGTACAATTTCTCAATATAAGGAAATCCAAGTAATAATTTTTAAGAGTGGAGCTGTTTAATCTGTCACCATTTGCCTGAAGCTACGAATGCAAATTAGACGAGGCTTAAAAATGTACATTTTCGGATCAAAATTGAGACAAAAAGTTCAATATCTCTGGATTCAGGATTCATAGATTGATGTATTATGGCTTGTTAGAAAGGTCTTCTTACATATTTTATGGATATATCAGAATATCAAATATATTCAAGTTTACAAGGCTCTGATACAGCATTTTGATTGTGTGTGGCTGTATCCATGGTGACCTTTAACTCACTCAGAAATGGGTCAAACCCCAAAATTGGCTACTCTTAAGGACTCATAATGTTTCAGAGGGTCCAAAGGAACATTTTGACAAAGGTTTCATTGATGTACCCAAGATGTCATTTAAAACTAATTTTAGGGACATTTCAAAAAGTGCCCCCTGGTGGTAGCCCAAAATTTCTCATTTAAGAGTTGCTTTTTTGGGATGTTAGACCCTGTCCCACATCTACTAATTACAGGCCTCAAACCTTTTGTACTCGAGATGTCTTATAAATTTTTGCTAGCTCCTAGAGTAAGTAGCATTAGTTAATGAAAACACAGAATAAAAGAGCTTATGTGAAAAGGTCAGTCCACAATATATTAAATCGTAAATAGTACAACAATTATTTTGACTTTGTCTCGTTAACGATAGCTCTCATACCAGAATGGATAGCTCTGTGTTCAACTCTTTTCTTGAACATTCTGTATTTAAACCTACTTACCATTGTTGCCATGATAACCCCATTCTGAAAAAATGTAATGAGTCGTGAATTATTGTAAGAACTATTGTGAGAGTCATGATTTATTGTATAGGTCGTGGCTTGTTGCATGAGTCTAATAGAATGTATTGTCGCTTTCAAGTTCAATAAAACTATTAAAAAATTTTAAATCATTTTTGGTTCGTGCCATTCCTTTGTCGTGCCTATTTTCTGAAGAAGAAACAAACTGTATACTTTATTCCAGGAAAACCAAGGTTTTTATATTGGTACTTTAGATATAATACACAAAATATTCTTCGAGTTTGTCAAAACTTACTTTGTCAATTTCTCAACTATTGTACAATCATGTAATTAACGACATTAAGATTTAAATATTGACAAGCTTTGATATGCTACCCAAGGAAAATTCAGAGTTTCCAAATTTGTGACGGGGAGTGTATCTAGTCCTACGTAAAGAACAGTAATGCCTGGGTCACATTTGTCCTGATGAATCGGCCAGCGCCCGGCCGATTGAGTATTTTGTTCAAACCTGTATACAATTTTGAGCAAAAAACTCAATCGGCGGGGCGCCGTAGTGAAAATCGGGGAAAATGTGACCAATGCATAAGCAAACAAGACCTAGCAGTATAGACAATGTTCAAATGTAAAGATAAATATTGTAAGCCCCTCCGGCATAAATGCCCATCTTCTCTCCCCTTGAAGACTATTCTCCAAAAAGTATAAACAAACTATAACACACTCATAAAAAAAACATAAAACACAAACAAACAAAGAAACTTACCGGCTGCGTTTGCTACGGATAAAACAACTGCCAACGTTTTCCAGAAAAATGTCTGCATCTTTACAACCGTGATGCTCTTCCTGTTCCAACTGTACCTACGATATGGTCGTTAACTCCTTGGTTAACGATGCAGTCAACGATCCTATCCTATCTGAACGACCTGAACTGAACCGGTGAACAACACAAACGAGTGTTCAAATTCTTCAACGTTATGTGTTACCCTTTACACGGTTATGATCCAAAGCCCCGCTATGAATTCGAAATCTCGAGCAAGCTCCCACTGAAAACGTTTGCAATAAAATGAAAATGGGGATTGTCTTTTGTTCACTTAAATTATATATGCCGTACACAGTTTTGTACCCCTTCCGCTGTGAATACATGATAATAGAACAATTGTCAACAACCCTGGCTCAAGATATAACCATTTATGTGACATGGGGATAAAAAACACCTTCTCAATTTTCATCGAACATTAGCCTTTTTCTACCCAATTTCACCATTCAGTTAAAACTTCATTTAAACTTCGTGCATCATTGTCACGAGACTTTCCTAAATTGTTATTATTTATTGTTTTCATTCAGTTTTTGAACCATACATGCTCATCAATATACATGTGTATGGTTATGAAATAGATACAAACGTTTAATATTAATTTTGTTTATTTTAGAAACGTACATTGCAAAAAAGCGTTGCGTATGTCACTCGTGAGGATTTGAGATTTAATTAGCAGTAATACGTAACTTAAACAGTAGGTAATTTTGATGATTAAGTATTAAGAAATATAGACCAAAGAGCAGGGTTTCTAGTTTCGAATAACACCCAGCTGGTCTCGGCACAAACGTTTTCTGTACCCCGAACGACCGAAGGGTCTATATTACGATTCGAACATGAAAACTCACCAAATTGTTTCGAATATTCATCATGGTCCGCCATTACTACGACCCACCGTTATGACGTCACACATTACACGTATTAACTGGGTGATTGTTCTCGAATATAACCCAGCTGAAGCATTGACTTTGTTTACAGTTTATAGAAGGCGTGAATACAGTCATGTTCGAATACTAAATAAGACATATCCAATCGTAATTCCCTGAAGTGTATCAATTTGTGTGTCCTCGTTAAAAGAGTAAGAAGAGATAGAGAGGGTTGGAAGCTGATTAAAATTAAGTAGTATGAAAAATGTTAACTCACTCACGGAGCATTGGCTCCAAGTCCTCCAACTCGATATTCGACTTTGACCTTGATCGATGACAACATTGGAAATGCCCTTATTTTATGACATTATAACTGACTATAAATTCATAATCAGCGGTCCAAAAGATTTGAACTAATATTTTGATGACTTCTTTTGTGATTTAAATTTTTTTGTTCGGAAACAAGACCAAAGCTAGTGATTGAAATTCTGAAGTGAAAACATTGGCGACTGCTTGATTTAAAATTTGTAATAACGACTTGGGTCCATTATATGGCAGACTATCGAGAAGGAACCCTGGGAGCAAATCCTCCTTGTAACTCACTGATGTATTTTTCATGTGCAGTACTACAAGGAGGATTGGCTCCCAGAGTGCACCACCGATATTCTGTCCCATATATGGGTATGTCGTAATACAAAATTCGAATTCAAACAGCCGCCATTTTGTTCACTTCAACATTTAAATCGTGAATTTTGGTCTTATTTCCAAACGAAAAATTCCAAAACTCACAAGAAACGATCGAGATATTGGTTCGAATCTTTTGAAATGTTTATTTTGAATTTATAGTCGGTTTTAATTTCAGAAAATAACGACATTTCGACGTTTTCATTGTTGGAAAATATCGAGTTTCGATCCTGGGAGCCAATCCTCCTTGGTACTAGATTGTAGTCTTTGGGCACGTCATTTCTTTTGTTAAGCTCATATATTGCAATTTGTGAAACAGCCAATAAACGTCTTGAAAATGTAATGGCCAA